AAATGACATAAAACTGTTAACACACCAGCTGTTACACGGGACGGCTTATTGCGTCATTTCCAACCTCAGCACTATTGGCGTTTGGGGCTAGGGAGTCCTTGGCTGCGGGGACTGTGCTGTGCCCTGCAGGATGCTCTGCCGCAGCCCTGGCCTCTCCTTGCCCGATGCCAGTAGCGCCCTCCCCCAGGTGTGGCAACAAGAGAGTCTCCAGACATGGACAAATGTTCCTTGGGGAACAGAAGGACAGAATCTTCCCTAGCTGAGAACCAGTGGCTTCTCGGAGGCACGTGAAGGTGAGGCACTTCCTGCAATCTCCGTAAGTGAACCCTACCTGCAAAGTGTCCAAGCCAACGCAGATCCCACTCAGGAAACTGATGTCACTCTATCAAGCCACTGACACCAGTGCATGGATGAAGAACCCTGTCCGCAAACAACCTAAGGATCGTGGAGCTGACGCTTGAAAACAAACTGTAAGAATCTTAACGGCACACATTCCATAGACTTTTTCCCAGGCAGTACACTGCATCCCAGTATGCTTAGGAATTAACACTTGCCAAAACCATCAGTGATGTCTTCCTTACTGGGCCCAGAGACCCGGCCCACAGCAGAACCCTGCGGCCCAGAGGGAGTGTGGACGTGCAGGTAAAATCTCTGTGTGGCACAGCCAGAATCTCTGGCCTCTAAGTGCTGCCGATTCACAGGGTCTTTACCTCACAACCCTGAGCTATCTTTGCAGAATTTGGAATGCATTTTCTCTGGAATGACCTCCGTTGGATCTGAAGGTAAATTGGGCTCCAGATAAGTCCAGGAACTAACCTCTGACCGTTCTGAGTCTGACGTCTATAGATCTCATTTCAATTTCTTCCCCTAAAGAGTCTTAAATCTAAGATACTTATTTAAATTTGACAGTAAATACTGGCACTTACCCCAGTGTTCATAATTCCATTTCTAAATGTATTTTCAGTGACATATTGCTTGGGTAAAATTCATATATTCTCTATTTATGGAACAACTTAACTCTTCAACAATAAGGGGATTGCTAAATAAATTACTCTACATTCATATACAGCCATTTAAAAATCATAGGTGAGACCTGTAATTAGTGGCATGATATAAAGTGGAATTTATAAAAGCAAAACAGAAAACTATATATAAGTTTGATCATGATTTCCTGATTTTGTAAATATATATATATATATATATAAAAATATATATATATATTTGATATATATATATTGATTCATCATATATATATATGATGAAAAAACATTTTTACCCATCAGAGTGACAAATATTTCAATTCACACATTTATTTTAGACTTTTCCTCTGCTATCCTCAAGGTCTCCATGCCAGAAATTAAGAGGGAACCTATGTGTTCTGAGCAAGACAGGCCTGCTCCCCCCAGACACCCACTTCGGCCTCCCAATTCAGGGTGGACCTCCACACCCTCCATTCTTGTTATTTTCAGCCCCAACAGCAGATTCCAATCCCAGTGCACCTCTGTCTGTCCCATTATGACCAGTGCCCTGAAACTTGCACAGATCGCTGCAGAGTCTGGGCTCCATCCTCAGGAAGCCCCTGATTCTCACCACCTCTCTAGACGTTCCTTTCACCCTTTTGCTGGGGTGATAATCTGGCTCCCCTGAGGTCACTGCTCCTTGAAACCCAGTCAAGGGGAAACTGAATGGCTCCTTCTCTCCCTGTGCCTCTCAGCTTGGAACTGGGCTGAGAGCCCTTTATAAAAAGTCTAAACCGCTGTGCCCTCCTCCTCCCTCAAGTCCCTCTGTTCCCCAAAGTCACATGCTTTTCGAGGACACCACGCAGTTGCTACCCCTGCCGGACGGCAGCTCCTTACGGCGCTCCTCGTCATGAAAGGCACCCGTCCTGTGGCTGCGTGTTCCGTCCAGCACTGTGGCCATGCTGAGCACAAACCCTCCCCACCATCTAACCCAGCCTTCCCAGCCCCTGGGGGACCCAGCGGCTGCACTGTTCGGTGAAGGCATGAGTCTGCTGTGGAGGAAGGAAACACAGACGTCTAGAGAGATCGGAGGGTCAGCAGGACGTGTAGCAGCTCAAAGTGGAAACCCCAAATGCTCAGCGATAAGGAAATTATAGGCAAACACAGCAGATAAGGAAAGAATGTCCGGCTTTGTGCGCGTCGGACCGCAAGCTGATGTAGGGCGAGAACTCCACGTGCAAACTGACGGGATTGAGCGCGCACAGGGGCCGGAAGGCCGGGGCGGCGCCCCCCTCATGCCAGGGAGCCACACGCGGGCGGGGGGCTCGGGGCCCAGGGCACAGCCCGCCTCCTCAGGCAGAGCCCAGCCAGGACTCCGGGCAGAGTTTGAGTGGGTAACGAAGGGTGATTTCTCGAGGGATGGTCCGAGGTGGCGACACGATCTGATTTTGTTACTGATCCGAGGGCAGGTATTTCCTGGGCCCTGGAGACTTAGAGAGTCCGCCTCCCGGGCGGCCGTGATCAGAGAAGACGTCCTGCAAGGTCACGGACCCGCTGCCACCTGTGCCCCACCTGGAGGCAATGACACCGAAGGAGGCGCCAGTCCCGGGGGCCTGCGTGACTGCCTGTGACCCTTGGGTCCCCAAGCACAGCACGGCCGTCCCCAACCCTCTCCATCTCAGATGGCGGTGACCTGCTGGTGACCGACCGCTGCCCATCTCCCAGCGAGGGCGGGGCGCTGTTCTTGGTCCCCCAGGCGTCATGACCCTTGATGCTCACGACCCAGATAGACCCATCAGGATCACCCTTGCGGATGAGAGAGCAGACATACAGCTGTTATGTCGCTTGTCTTGCCCACCATTACCAGGTGTGACTCGATCCAGGGTGGAAGGTTCTAGAGCCCATCCCTTTACTCACTGGGTGATACACCAGGGAAGAAAGATCAGCTAGCTGCCCAGTGGGGAAGGACGGCATGCAGGAAGTGGTCCACATGCCACTTTTTTTCAGTGTTTTTACTTTTTTCCATGATCATGGATTACATGTATATGCAGAAATGCATTCAATTATTTGGTTTTCACCAATCATAGATATTTTTTACTCGGGTATACAAACGGATTTTGAGTGTCAGAACTACATGTGATATAAGCAGCATTTGAGACAGCCACACAGTTTAAGGCATGGTTTCACTGAAAACAGCCCCATGTAGGGATGGGAAGAAAACCACAGGGGTGATGCCTCTGGGGGAGGACTTCAGCCCCACTGGTTCTGAGGGTCCTCTGGGGGCTGTGCAGGGACCTCTTCATCCTTGTAACAGCCCCCACAGTACTACAGCCCTACCCTGGGCTCCATGGACTCAGCATCCCTGGGTCCATTAATTAGACCCGATACAAGTCCACTCTTGCCCACCATACTTGCTTCTATGTAAAGAAAGGGAATCGTATGAGCTTTTGCTTGGGCTGAGCAGTAGCACCAATTAGCAAGAGTTTGTTCTTTCTAGAAGCACAAAGACCCAGGCACACTACTGTGAGCGTGCCTCACTTCTCTCGCTGGGTAATCCGTGACCTCCAACCACAACCAGCACAGATTCAAACCACTATTTGCTTATGGTTTCTGCCAACCTAAAAATTCTTCTAACTTCTTCTCCACTATTATTTTGCTGTATTCTTTCACTAAGTAGACTCTCAAATACTCTTAAGTTGATTATATCTTGCGACTTTAAAATTTTTTATTATTTTTTAATTTATTTTACTGGAATATAGTTGATATACAATATTATATTAGTTTCAGATATACAACATGGTGATTCAATATTTATACACTTTACTAAATGCTCACAGTGGTAAGTGTAGTTATCCCCATTACTTCACCAAGATATTACAATATTATTGGCTATACTCTCTATGCTGTATTTCCATTTCTATGACTGATTTATTTTGTAATTTGAAGTTCACACCTTTTTATCCCCTTCACCTATTTCACCCATCCCCCACAAGCCTCCCTGATGGCAGCCACCAGTCTATTGTCAGTATTTATGGGTCTATTTCTTTCTTGTTTTATTTTTTAGATTTGACATATAAGTGAAATCCTATGACATTTATCTTTCTCTGACTTATTTCACTTGACATGATAACCTCTAGGTCCATCCACATTCTTGCAAATGGCAAGATTTCCTTCTTTTTTACGGCTGAGTAACATTCCATTGTATAAATGTACCACAGCTTTATCCATTCATCTATCAGCGGGCACTCGGATTTCTTCCATATCTTGGCTATTGTAAATAATGCTGCAACATATATAGAAGTGAATATATTTTTTGTGACTTTGTTTCCTTCAGGTAATTCACAGAAGTAGAATTGCTAAATTGCATGGTATTTCTATTTTTAGTTTTCTGAGGAACCTCCATACCGCTTTCCACAGTGGCTGCACCAATTTACAGTCCCACCCACAGTATAGGAGGGGTCCCTTTCTCCACCTCTTTACCAACATTTGTTATTTCTTGTCTTTTTGATACTAGCCATTCTGACAGATGTGAGGTGATATCTCATATGGTTTGATCTGCATTTCCCTGATGATTAGTGATGTGCAGCATCTTTTCATGTGCCTGTTGGCCGTCTGTATGTCTTCTTTGGAAAACTGTCTATACAGGTCCTTTGCCCATTTTTTAATTGTATTATTTGGGTTTTTTTGATGTTGAGTTGAAGTAATTCTTTACATATTTTGGATCTTAGCCTCTTACCAGATAAATCACTTGCAAATATTTTCTCTCATACGCTAGGTTATCTTTCCTTTTTGTTGATGATGTATTTTGCTGTACAGAAGCTTTTCAGGTTGATGTAGCCCCACTTGTTTATTTTTACTTTTGTTTCCCTGCCTGGGGCATATCTCTGAGTACTTTTGCATGCCACCCCTAATCTAACGTAATATTAAGCAAGGATTGACTTAAACAAATGCATATGTATTTTTAAACAAAGGAAGGTAGGAAATCAGACATCTGTTCATACCTATATTAATTAATTTTGTAAAAGAATGATTTGCATTTACCTGCTTTCTCCATTAGCCCTTCAGAGAGAAGACGAAATCCCTCCATCTCTTCATAATGGAGAGCTCAGTGTCCGCAGGTCAGAGCTGACTTTTAGCCAGGAGCAGCCAGCCCACCAGGGGTAACCTGGGGCGAGCGTCTCGGTTTCTCTCTCTCTCAGCTTCTGCACCGGAACAGGCTAAGCAAAATAAGAGATGGTCACTAAGCAACTGCCCTTCATGTTCAACAAGCAAGTATTGAATGCTAAGCCTGTGCCAGGGACTGTGCTAGGCACAGTGTCAACACTCTGTGGTGACTTAACAGATTCATTCCTTGGCAATGTTTTCTAAGGCTTATTCTCATTATATTTTAAGAGAACAGAGATATGCTTGAGCATTTAGATACATTCCACCTTGCCATGTCTCAATTTTACTTTTTTTAAATAAATAAATTTCTTTTATTGAAGGATAGTTGATTTACAATATTATATTGGTTTCAGAAATATAACATAGTGTCAACAGTTATCTACATTATTAAAGGTTCACCCCAACTAGTGTAGTTACTAAGATTTCAAGCACTGTTCTCATCAAGATTATCAAGATTATCAAAATATTATGTATCATATAAATGGGAATGTTTCTGCATTTCATGTATCCATGAGCTATTTCAAAAAAGGTAAACATGGTTGACAGAATAATTAGGCAAATTTGGGTAGGGAGATTAACTAAAATTTATTGAGGGTGGACTACATTCTAAATTCTGTACATATGTCCACTCATTTAGGTATTATTAATATTGTTTTACAGCTAAAGAAAAAACAGGATTCAAAAAGCATAAATAATATTCCCAAAGTCACAATGGCAGTGCTCAGAGCCAAGGCTCACACCTCGACCTCATCCGCCGGCAGAGCCTCCAGCATATCAGACACCCCTCTTGTGTGGAGGTGCAATGACTCATTCTGACCTTTTTCTAGCACATATAATATTGGCCAAACTTCCCTGTGACCTACTATTGTTCACACAAGCTGCCACGTAGCTCGGGGTCAAATGGTCATTTCTTCCATTAACTTCTTCCTTATTCCACTGACTTACTGTATTTTGCTCACTCTTCTCAAAACCCCCACAGCAGCATTCTTGTTCCTAAAGTAGAGCCTGGAGCAGAAGTTTAAAAGTGTCTGGAAGGAAATCAGAAATGCAATAACTGCTTTACTAAGCATAAGAGATTACTGTACACTGAGTTTAATTAAAACGATGGGAGCTGGTGCGATGGAGAGACAGATAATCCAGATCAGACCAGTTTCTACCAACTCCACTCCCTCTGGCAGCTGACACCCTGAGAACAGGGCAGGGTCCCCTGGATGGCAGGGAACGGCCTGAGCTCAAGGATTAACCCTTTCGGAGACACGGCGCAGACTAAGACAGTTCCAGTACCACCAGTGCCACCTTCAGGGGTGTAAAACAGTAACACCTCTTTTTAAATTAAATGATGCAGGAGGGAGGCGTCTATGCTAACGTGCATGTGTCATGCATTTTATTCTTCAACTGAGACTGCTTTCCAAATCTGAGTTGCAATCTGTCCTGTTGTAATAAATTATATGCTGATTTTCCTCATGACTCATGGCTCTTTAATCCCAGTCAAAAGATGTAGAGAATTCACAGCTTAAACACAATGTAGGCAAGGGAAAAACCATTGATTTTCAGGTATTTAGTGTTGAGTCAAGTTTGGTGTCAAGAAGCCTCTGGTTGGCAAGATGCAGAAATATTTTTTTAAACTTACAAAAACATGTAGGAGGCTGAAATCACGTGTCTTTCAGAAATCCTGCCTTTTGTCCCCTGCCAACCACTGCCAGCATCTGTAATTAAAAATATTAATTAAATTATTATGGGTTGGGGAGGGTGATCTATATGCTCCAAGAAAAGCTGCCGAAAGCATATGACGACAATAAAAAGAAAATATGAAATTCAGTGCCAAATGTGCAATAATTTAGTGAATTTATTTAGTTAAGTATGATGGCTCTTTATCAAAGATTGGACTTAGCTACCAGATTAAGCCTTTTGGTGGAGTCTTCTCCCTGCACCCACCCCGCAGGCCCCAGGGTCCTCGGCTGCCGTGTGCCAGCAGGGCCCCCCCCCCAGAGGACACTTCCTCCTGTTTCCTGGACCACTTCGTGCTTATCAGGCTTTCTCTCCACCAAATGTATGTAATTCTTAATTCATTTCTTCAACTCTGTATGTCACTGTTACTGGATGGCTCACTAATCTGAATGAGTATTAAATGGCTAATTTTATCTACTCTTCCAGTGCAACCTCTAACAGACATTTAAATTCAATGTTTAATTACAATCTAACAGACTACATACTGGTGGGAATTTCCATGCTGTGGCTTATAGGTGAAATAGCTGCCAGGAATATGACACGTAGTAAAATGAACTGGAAATAACACTGAATAGATACATAGACTCTACTCATTCCTCCACGATTACCCACCTATGTGACACCGAGCAAGCCGCTCCCTGCTCTCAAGATCTCAACTTCAGCATCACGAGCCACACAACCTCCAAGTGCCCTTCTAATTTCTAGGGTTCTTGCTTTATAGAGCCATGCATAGAATACTAAAAAATATATGCACAAATAAATATAGGACCATCTGTGTCCTTCTAAATTTCTAGGATTCTTGCCTCATAGAGCCACACATTGAATATGAACACATTTGTACAAATAAACAGAAGGCCAAGTTCTTAAGCAAGTTATCTTTAGACCTTACTGGTAAAAACAGTCTATAATTATGAAATGCACTTGATTAATTTAACTGATTCATTCACTGCACTGTATTCCACGTGCCTATCAGCTGAGACAGGGGAGAGCACGCTTCTGTAACGAATAACCTTCTAATCTTTTTGCCCAAACACCACGCTTTTGCTCTTGCAAAGTCTGCTAGAGCTGCGAGCTCTCGGGACAGCCATCCTCCGCGGTGCAGCTCCATTTCCAGGGTGCTTGGATCTGATGCCGTCTCCTTATCAGCAGGATTTCACGAACAGTGAGGTGAAGAAGGGCAGCGTGAAGAACTTAACATGATCAGTAAATGCCGCTCGCTGTTCTGATCGCATATCCACATTTTGTTTCTCAAAGGAAGTTTTGTGAAGACACCTAGCTACAAATAAACAGGCCGATGTAATGCACCCCATACCTGGAAGCAGAGGAGAACCAGACACGGGGGCACAGAAGCGATGCCTATCACAACATGACAGGTCGGGCGTGTGCCACCAGAAGTGCAAAGCGGTGGGCAGAACAGGTGTGTGAACAGGTCTGCCTGTATCAGAAGACAGTAAGCACAAAAACAGTGGAGGGGCTGGAAATCTCCCTGGAAAGATCCGCATGGGCTTCAGCTCATTTATTCATTCATTTAACATTTATTTTTTTGAGTGCCCAGTGTGCCAGGTGCCAGGAATAAAGCCATCCCTCGCTTAATGGATTTAATTCATTTCTGAAAACCTTACTGCTGAGTGAAACATCATTAAATAAAATTTTATTACCATTAATTTTAGTGGGAACACATAGGGTGCATCCCATCCCAACTCAAGATATCCAGACATTTTCACAAATAGAGAAATATGTCAGTTGAATAAGGAAAACAAATTTAAATGGGTAATAAACAACAATCTGAAAGCAGAACAGTTACAGTTTGTACATAAATGGAGAGGAAGGGACTTGTCACGACTGCGGAACCAAAAGAAGAGACGACCAGGAAGGGAGGCAGACGTGTGACACAGCGGCTACGTGAGACGATCGTCTGCTCACCATCAGAACCGGGACAATTTTGAGCCCTGAAGTCAGTGTCATCCATAAAACCACTGGGGCAGCAGGCCTAAACCAGCGCTATCCTGGGAAAACTGGGATGTTTGGCCACCCTGCTCAACTGCAGTGCAGTTTATGAGCAATCATGACATGAGGTCGGTTCTTCAGATTGCGCCCATTGACACACATGTATTGTAATTTAAGTTCACATACCCCAGCACACATTTATTCTCCCAAGAGTGAGACAGCACAGAAGGATAGTCAGCAGCCAGCACTTGTTGGGCCAACTCCCCTGATCGCCCTCTACTCCTCAGAAACATACCAGCCAGCAGACCCAAGGAGCCTGCCTGAAGCAGATTTCATTGCAACTCAAGTAGCATCTGCCTCCTGCCATAGGACCTTATTTTCAGACAGACACCTTGGCTATAAGAAACCCAGTTGATACTTGTCTCAAGCTAATCTGCATAAATGAAGATGTCTGTGTACAAAGACCTTAACAAAATAAGCCTATAAGACACAACTTGAATGTAACTCATTCACATCCTTTAAAGACTGCTCTAAGGAACTTGTATTCTTGAGTCTCACCTGACTCACCCTCCACTCAGGGAGTCACTGAAGAGTTTAGTGTAAGGAGGTGAATTGATCTTACCTGGGTTGAATCCCTGTCTTGTCACTGAAAATGTGCTTGGCTGTGAACAAATTATTTGATCTTCTAAGCCTCAGTTTCTTCATCTGTAGAGTGAAATGTATTTGAGAGTTCTTGAAAGAATTAAATAAGTCAAAGTATACAAAGTGCCAGGTATATTACTAATCACTGTCCTCCCCTTTAAAAATAGGAAAACCCCAATCCTGGGGCCAAGACGGTCACATAGGAGACTCCTGGATTGCCCTCATCCAGTGCTCACACCAGAAGCGCAACACACCAAACAATTCCGAGAAAAAGCCAGAAATTAGCACAGTGACTCCTACACAGCAGATACCTAAGAAAACTAGGTTAAACCTTTAGCTAGACTAAGTAAGCAAAAAGGAGAGAAAACCTAAACAAATGACATCATAAATAAAAAAGGACACAACACAACTGATAACATAGAAATAAATACTAAGGAGCATAAGAAACTACTAGGAAACAGTTATATGCCAACAAATCAGATCACCCAGAAGAAATAAATTCCTAGAATCATACAATTTACCAAGACTGAATCATGAATAAAAAATCTGAACACCAATTACTAGTAAACATATTGAATCAGCAATAAAAACTTCCTGACAAAGGAAAGGCCAGGACCAGATGGATCGATGGATGAGTTCTAGCAAACATTTAAGGAAGAGCTAATACTAAACCTTCTCAAAATCTTCCAAAAAGTAGGAGAGGAGGGAAGACCTCCAAGCTTACTCTAGGAGACCAGCATCACGCAGACCAGAGCCAGACAAGGACACAAGAAGAAGAGAAAGTTACAGATCAATAACCCTGATAAGCAAGGATGCAAAAAGCATCAGCAAAATGTTAGCAAACTGAATTCAACAGCAAGCACATTGAAAGGATCAGACACCATGAACAGTGGGATGTACTCTAATGTGACACACCACACTAACAAATTAAGGATAGAAATCATATGATCACCTCAGTAGATGCAGAAACATTATCTGACCAAATTCAACATCCTTTCATGATAAAACTCCTCATAAATTGTGTATAGAAGGAACATATCTCAACATAATAAGGGCCACTTATGATAAGCCCACAGCTAACATCACACTCAATGACAAAAAGCTGTTTTTCATCTAAAATCTGGAATAAGACAAGGTTGTCCATTCATGTCACTTTTATTTAATATAAGCATTGGAAATCCAAGACAGAGCAAATAGGGGGATTAAGGAGTAAAAATTGGAAAAAAAGCGAAACTGTCCCTATTTGTAGATAACATGATATTATATAAGAAAATCCTAGAGACCCCACCAAAACACTGTTAGAATTAATTAATGAATTCAGTAAAGTCTCAGAATACAAAGCCAATATACAAAAATCGGTTGCATTTCCTTATAGTAACAATGAACTAATGGAGAGAGAAATTAAGAAAACAAATCCCATTTATAACAGCATCAAAAACAATAAAATAGTTAGGAATAATTTAATCAAGGGGGTGAAAGATATACACACTGAAAACTATAAAGCATTAATAAAAAACATTGAAGGAGACACAAATAAGAGGAAACATGTTCTGCATTAATGGATTAGAAAGAAGAACTAGTATTGTTAAAATACTGCCCAAAGCAATTTACAGATTTAATCCAATGACTGTCAAAATTCCAACGGCATTTTTCACAGAAATAGAAAAAAAAAAATCCTAAAATTTGTATGGAACTGAAGAAGAACCCAAA